TGTGTAAAATGAAAAAAACAACCTCGAATTTTTGTAACTGGAAATGTTTTTGAAATGGCATTCTTGGCCGCTTTCTCGAAATCAATCATAATCGTGTCCGGATTCAATTCAGGTTTTATTGATTTCAATGCTTCGAATAGGCGACAATATGTAGATTCCATTTTATTTGGTAATAATGCAAACACTGATGGGAAAACATTACTGTACTGTACACCATGTATCTGTAAAACCATATAGTAATTTACACATTTAGTTACAATAATTATGATATAACTTAATTTTTCTATTCGAAAATTAAAGTAATTTCATTACAATATTTTTTGAGTAACGAGTAAAGTAACTTTAATACATTTATCTCTAAATAACAAGTAAAGTAATTCAATTATAACGTATGATCGGTTATATACCTATTATTATTTATACCCTTATTAGTGTTCACCATAGCCTTTTGTCGCGGTCGTTATCGCAACGACCGCGGCGTCTCTATCGACGTCCGCGAGAGCGCGACGGACAACCGGTCTGGCCGCCGCCTGCGGCACGGCCGCCGGCCCGGCCAGCGGCGGTGGTGTCGACCGACAGCTTTAGCCGGACCGTTGTCTTAGGAACACGTCGCTAAACCGTCCGCGAATATATAATCGCCGTGTAATTGTCAATTAACTAATAAACTATAAGTCAACGTTAAACAAAGTTGTGTTGTTTGTATTTATAAGTTCTACTCAAACCGTTCCCACACCTACACTTTTATTTAAAATATACTAATATATTAAAAAATAATTTAAAACAGTTACCGTATATATTTGAGTAAACAATGAAGGCGATGTCGAAAATGTTCCGTCTGCATACCAATGTTTACAGTTTTCCATAAGACGTAAATTTCTTTCGGTCGAAAATAAAAGTATTCGGTCTTCTCCTGGACCACTATCGTACAGTAAAAATGGTTGTTCATCGTTCGTCAATTGGTATTTTTGGGGAATCATTAAATCACTTAGTGATTTTGGGTTTGGTGGTGAAGTATCTTCCTCATTTCTTATCCGCCGAATCGTTCGTTTAAGAGAACTTAATTTAGGTAAATGCGCTGTTGCTGAAGTAGTTAACTACAAGATGTATAATATTAAGAAAAAGAATAGTTTTACAATTAATAAAAGAAGTATTTTAAATAAGTATACTTACAGATGTCGAAATTGAACCTAAGACTGCACGTGTTCTTAAATCGAGTCGTTCGATAGCTTTTTCTTTTAATTCGTTGATTGCTTTGCATACTTCAACTTTTGCACAGTCCGGCACATGATTATGTTTAAATTATTTTATAATTTCGTCATTACAAACATGTAAACGTCCTTTACATTTTATCTTCTGATAATTTTCACACTTCCATATTAATTTACTTAAACCTTGTTTTTCAAGTATATAAATGTACCCTTTTAATATTAATTTATCTTTACCCCGTTCACTTTTAATATACGATATATTATTCATGATTATAAAATGAAACACTCTCGTAAACGTCGATATACGTACTGGACGATGCCGACACAATAATTCAATAATCAGTAACGTGTATAATCGTATAGTTAAATGTATCTGGTTATTTTTAAATTTAGAATTTTGGATAAGGAAATCAATTTGTATCAGTAAGATAAACTTAATGGCTCATCATATCAAAAATGCCATGTCGTAATTTAATATATAGACATCGACTGATAAATTGGTTTATTACATTTTACATTATCAAAAAAACAACTGCGATGAATTGTATGCGCGGTGAATTGTGCACGCGGTGAGTTATAAATGCGGTGAAATGTTGGCGGTGAATTGTCGCGCGGTGAAATAATTGCGGTGAAATATCCGGATACCCATGTTTCCCTATGCTTCAAAACCATAAAACCAAGACATTTCATATTATGTAATTCTATAAAGAATTCTTTAAGATCAAAACTGGAACGTATAGCGTTGTGGGTATCTATCGATTGACTTTAGCTATAATCAGAAAAAGCCAACTATATCATTTCTAAGATAGAAACGGAATATAATATGACTATAAATATAATATATAATAAATAATAGCACATTATTTTTTTTTATAAACTGACAAGTAAAAAAAATATATTTTTTGGAATTTGAAATTTCATTAAAAAAAAAATTAATGAATATAATACGTAGGTTTTGATCATTCTTAATATTCATTATATAACTAATAATATAATTTTGGTTAATTTGTATTTACCAGCTGCTGTAAGTAGGCTGACCAAAGTGCATAGATATAATAAAACAATGAAAATATTAAAAACTAGTTGACTTTTCATTTTATTATTAAAATCAAACTACAATATTATTTTGAAATTAAATACATTTAATAGTTATTCAAGTTATACTTGCATTATTAACATCGTCATTAGTTATATACCTTTTTGATATTTGAGTAATGAACATTTGACTAGAGATCACAGTTGTGTAAATAAATACACATTTAATAAAAATAAATAATGACTATTTGTTATTATGATAACTTATTAATCCCATAATCCTCTCTTTACTTTGAACATGATGACGTAAATTTTACTGTTAATACAACGTTGCAAGTATAAATTAATTGTACATAACAACAAAAGTTTCAAAACTGTCAGTGATATCTGTTTATCATACATACCACTCGTTAGAATCCTTTTCGAATTCTGAGTGGTTATTTTTCACTCTTTCCTTGCAAAAGACCAACTTTGCTTTGACTGTTTACAAAACAAATGTTTAGCCTTTAGCATCAAATGCTGCGTTCCTACTCGAACATACTAATTGCATAACAATACTACCCCAACATCCGCGAAGTACTCCACTTCTAAACTCTATCCTCAAGTCACCTTGAAGGTAACCAAAAATTATTTTTTTCTATTTTAAATGGCGCCCTTGATGGTCCAAACCGTGTTGAAAGAGTCTTCTTTAGCGTTTGCTCATACCCTATACTCGCAGATAACTACATTTCATTATCCCTGGTGACACCACCTCTCACGGCCATAACAAGCCCCATTCACCTCATGATGATAATATGCTGATGCATACAAATATTTATAGTTATCAATAATAATATGTTCATAATAATTGCATACAGATTTTTTTTTTTTTTTTTTATTTATCCAAGAAGTATACAATTCAGCACAATAAGTACCTATATGTGAGATGAGAAAAAAAACATGACGAGGTTGCTTGAATGAGTATATACAGATCTTATATAGTATATATTAAACAGGTATTGGTTTTCTAGTGTAATTTAATAATGTTGTATGGATTAAATATCCATACAACAGATGTAATATACCTATAAATACCAATGTTTCAAAATTTAATTTATATACTATATATTATATTTAGAAAGTTATATCTTTTTTACATTTATTTAAAAATATATATAACAATTAAATATGATCACTTTAAATAGCAAATAGAAAAATCACTAGCTAATGAAAGTAAAAAACAAAAAACTATCTGAATTAAATTTAAAATTGGATTTTATAATGATTAGATTCAGTTTTGACGAATTTTACCATCTATGGAGTTTACATGTTTTCATTCAATAAAACAACATGATGGAATTTACATTTTTTTCTGGTAAAAAATACATAAATTGGGAATTTACATTAAAAAAGAGCTGAAAAGGTCGCAATCGGTGGAGTTTACATGTACCCCCTCTAGATATATTTAGGTACATTCAATATTTTTACATATGGATAGTTTTATTATATTCTTATAATTAAATTCATACGTTAAATTATTAATATATTTTTGTTTGTATCGTTGTATGAATTTGCTAGTTTCGTTTCCCTTTCGAAACTATCATTTTGCTTATAAGTTGTATAGATAAATAAATTATAAATGTGTTACTTATTATTTATTGTCACTTAGCTTCAGGGTTGTATTATACTAGCTGCAAGTTTTTCTGCTGAAATATAAACAAGGAATTGAGCATAAAATAGGTATAAAAGTGAGTTAAGTTTTGTATTAGATACATTTTTTATATTATAGTCATACTAAGTTCAGTAATTGAATGTATTGAGAGTTCAAAATAGGGATTGAAAACAAAAACACATTTTCTTATTTTGATTTTGATTTAGGTATCATATTTATATTTTCCGATTTCATTTTCGGATTTGAATATCGGTATTTATTTTTTTTCTGTTTCGATATCGATCTTGGATGTTTATGGTTTTAACTGGTATTTAAAATTTGAATTCAGTATATTTTTAAAGCTCTGGTTCAAAAAATATCGGTTCAAAAGTGCATTACCAATAAAGGTTTAAAATAAATAACAAAAATGTTTGGACCTCTACAACACAAAAAATCAAATTTAATTTATATTGCCTTTTAATTGTATAACTTTTATAGGTACGTCATATCGTAGAAGTCCCATTAATTAAAGCTTATAAGTAATAAAAATGTCAATTAACATAAAAAATATTTACAAAAATGAATATATTAAACTGTTTGTACTTTTTTAATAATGAACGATACGCCGAGGTGAATTTAATAAGTATGTGTTTGTTTAGTGTTTATTGTAATGAATATTTTATACGCAATAATATTATTATGTATACATATTCAAAAACCTACTTACAAATTATGTTATTTACTAGCATTTTTCACATTAGCATGGCTGAGCCTCTTCACTGTATTATTTATTTTATAATTAATTATTTATTATAATAAGATAACCCACGAAGTTTAAAGTAACCTTTTAGAGTAGGTAAATTAATCATTGCTTTATTTTCTTTGTTGCTTTCCATTTAGAAAATGGATCATATCTAAAAACAGATTTAATCTAACCGCCCTAGGCGTGATCTGCTGAACCCAAAATTGTGTATATTATGCACTTGTAAGATGGAGATAACACACGAGTGTGAAATGTTCTTTTGAAAAATAACAGTTATAAAACAATACCACCAAACATAAGAATTTAGAATATTAAAACATGGGAAATATAAGAACATATAGTTATATTTATAATGGAATACCGGGGAATACGGTATGGACTCACGAGCAGATGGGCTGATAGAAAATCAGGATTATCCCCTTAGTCCTTATCAATATTATACTCAGAGTAGATATAAAAATTAATTTGTATAAGTATAACTCTGTAATTTAATGCCGATAGCCGGCTGAAGGCTGTACAGTATCAATGTGTATTTGTAATATTTGTACACTCCATTATTGGCCTCTGTATAATAATGCGTTAATACCCTCATAAATACTTATAACTAGATTAGTTTCGTATCAGCGATATTTAAGATTCTGAGTGGAGCGATGAAGGGTATTGATTTTACAATGACGTGTGTTTTTATATTTATTTATTTATTTTTATTTTTGTGTCTATCATCACGGTTTCTTGCAGTAAAGTGCTTTAATTTTCTTCACCGGCAACTTTTCTGGTATTATAATACCGTCCATCACATCGACATCCAAGACACCTAATGTACTGCAGAGCGACATGCCGACATCCACTTACCTGTTTTTTATATTATGTTCATACGTAGTTGAACATTTTTATTCATTTTTTTTTTTTGTATACATGTCAATTAAATTTAATTGGTTGGGTCAAAAAGCATGACAATTTAATACAAGACTGTTTATACATTATTACAACTGCAATTGAAAAATATTAGTAATACATCGGCACTACTTTTTTTTATAAGCATTTAAAGTTCAAATGTTGACAATATTTATCAAATTGAAAATTGAAAATGATTTTGTAGTTATAAATGTATAACATTTTCAATTTTTATGGCTAAGGATTGAAAATTTAAAACGAGGTTCCACTTAAGCAATTTTCTCCGTAACTAAAAACTCTAAAAAATATATGAATAGGTAAAGTTATTGTTTACAGACATTATAAGTTCAAATTCGGACAAAATCGCATATTATCACAAAGAATAACGGTTATCATTTTGTTGTAATTTGGTTTCAAAACAGCCCAATTTTACATAGGTCTAATTAATATTTTTCCAGTATCACTTGTCGTATATGCACTTTTCAAGTGATATACCTTCACCTTTTAAACCTTAAAATCTAGATCGGATTTTAAAGAGTATACGGTAGAATTGCGAGACTACTCAAACAGAACAAATAATTTTTGGGGGTCGGAAACACTTTTTATTAAAAATGAACATAAATAAAACACTTAGCAAATTCGGATCGCCTAGCCCGTATTACGACCGGCACACGGACCGGTCGTCGTACCCGCGTCCTCAAACCCAGCGACGACGGGACTCCCCGCGCCTGCGCTTACGGCGATGTTATATAGAAAATATTATTGTCGCCCCAGCACATCTTGTTTCGCTGGCCTGACCAACTTCAATAATTTAAAATTTAAAATATCCCCACCTTTATAACATATATATTAAATAATATTATTTTGACAACTGTCTATAATATACAACACACTGATAATTTAAGAATAATATTAACTTGAATTACCGGCTACCATATTTATAGTAAGTAATAGTTTAATAACTAATAACAATATAAAATATCCTAAACTGACTTACAGTCTCCGATCAGATTCGTTTTTCGTATACAATTATTTGATATCATTGAATTCAAATTTAATACCATCCATTAACCATTACAGCGAACTCATAGACACCTAATGTAGGTACAGCAAAGCGACATCCACTTACCCGCTTTTTTTATATTATGTTGATACGTAGTTGAAAGTATTGAGAATTCAAAACAGGTGTTCAAACCAAAATCATTTTTTCGGATATTGAATTTATTTGTTAAGATTTAATTTTTGGTTTTGAATATCGGTATTTATTTTTTTCGATTTCACTTTCAGTTTCGATATCGATTCGGGTTTGAACGGTTGTAACTAATATTCAAAATTGGTATCCAGTATAGGTTTCAAGCAATGGTTCTAAAAGTATCGGCTAAAAAGTTTACTAGGTACCAATATAGGTTTAAAATAAATTATAAAAATGTTTAAGCCTCCACAACAAAAAATGTTTGACGAGTCAGAGATCGGCATGTAAACGTTCTTGATTTTTCGTTTAGACATTTATTCTGATGTAATAATATTATGTATGTATTATATTACAATATGATTCATAAAAATTGTTTTTTAAGGAAATAATTAATGACAAATGAATTTATTGAAAAGATACAACGGTCAAAATGCACCTATAAACAGATCAACGAAACTAGTTAGTAATTATTGAAATAATGATCTGTTTTAACGTGTCTAATTAAAATAATTTTCATTAGGTATTAACTAAATAATCTTTTGACTGGATAAATGTTACATTCTGTGTCAATAACTTATTAAGTTAAATTCTATTGTTATACATATTTATTTTGTATGCATAACCATTTTCTTTCAGTGAATTATTTCAATCATAATTCTCACATCACAAAATATACTTAAAATTGTTTGAATATGGAAATTATATAACTATATACTGGCATATTATAATATTTAGGATTAATAGCAATGTATTTACTAATATTATTAAAATACGTAAACCCTAGCCTTATGTCTATAATGATTGTAACTGGGTTCGCAAAGTTAAAATGTACAAATAAATAAATAAAAACAATTAAAGTACCACCTGATGTTTTTTGACATTTATTACTGATGCAAGTTATACATGCATGTATAACATAGTTATTAATTATATAGGTACCTTTTTGGTATTTGAGTAACGTACATTCGACTATCGATCGCAGTTGTGTAAATAAATACACATTTAGTAAAAATAAATAATGAATATTTTTTATTATGATAATTTATTAATCCCAACAAAAATAAACAACCATAATAATAATTAATAGTTATTATAGAAATATATTCAAATAATAGAATTAGTTCATTAAAAAAACGGTTATAATTTTAATAATTATAAATTCTTATCAATGAATTGTGTACTTAATGTATTTTATGATTTGACTGGTAAAAGTATTAATAACGAAGCGATCATTTTTTTTATAGTTTATTCTATAGGCCTAGTTACATGTGGTCCGAAAAAATGTATACCGACAATAAAGTGTCTATCCAGCGAGTGTACGGATGCAGATGGAGTGGAAACGGGTCGCCATAACGTCCTTGTACTTTTGTACTTGCAGTCAATGCGTACAGCGTCAGTATAAGGTAATGAATACATTTATATTATATTAATATTACCACTCAAAATATAAAACTAGATTAAAGCTTGTATATTGAAATACACATACCATTGATACTCAGCTGCATATTTCATTATATTGACCACCTTTTTTGGACAGAACGCATGCGATTTATAATATATGTACGTTTTACCCGTCATGAACGAACGAAAAATTGTAGAAACTATTCTTTTATGGGAAAACAATAAAATATACATACTACGAAATCCTAGATATCTATCTTGAACTCGGTAAAGCACGATTAAGCATAAAACGATTGAGCATAGACCTTTTTAGCAACACGATTGAGCATAGAATATTTTATGCGATGTTGCCAAATTCACATTTTGTAATTTATTATTTTCACGTATTATTACACCAATTATTATTATAACTGCACCAGCCGTGAGCCCAGAAAATTACAATCAGCTAAAGAAATAAAAAAATTGAATTTAATATTCAAGCCTGCAACCAGTATTTAAATCGTAAGAATACGGAATCCTTATTAATATATTTAAGCCAACTTGGAAACAGATACCAAGATATATCAATTTGATTTATAAATATTTTGATTTTATTATTTTCATAAGTCATAACTATTATTATTATTATTTTATTATTATCAAACAGAGTACTATGTTATATTTTGAATTATTATAATTATTTAAATAATTTTTTTAGTAAAATACATTTCAAAATTTAAAATGGCAACGTTGCAGAGCTTTTTATGCTCAATCGTGTTGGTTTTCTTTTGTATTTCAATTTCCTTTGATGCCCCGACAATTTATGCTCAATCGCGGTGTCGCAAAAAAGGTGTTCTGTGCTCAATCGTGTCGTAGCCCTTGAACTCTTGAGCTAATAAACTGTTATACTATCACGGTTAAAGATAACATTGATGACACATGCACTCAATTATAATTAATTAAACGATACATATTCTAACATTTTAACTAATAATGGACATGTTGGACTGATACATTTTTTTCTTACTGAGAATACTGTTAACTTGGTGTGTGAAACGATTAAGTATCCCTCTTTTGTACAATTTAAATGTAGTAATGTTACTGGCTGGTATTTTTTTAGATTTGGTGGTAATAAATACATTGAGATTATTAAACCATTGTTCCCGTCCGGAATCTATGAAATTTCAAAAACATAATTTAGTATATTGAAACGATCCTAATGAGCTGGTACGCTGTTAACGGTTATTACTTTTAGCGTCGAAACAGCTGGTAAGACCGACCTTACCTTTCCAACAAAATACTTTCAACTCTCTATGAATTTCATGAAGCGGGCTGAATAAAACGTATTCCAAATGTCTAAACTCGATATTGTGAAATTCACAATCCTACTAGAAAAATTATACAATAGTTGGGCTGTTTTGGTAAAACGTGTAAAAAGGTAAATTTCAAGTATCTACGGTTATTCGTTTTTGAATTACAACAGAATAAGAAAATCGCTACATGAGAAATCAAGTGAATATCCAACGTTGTAAAAATGTCAACTTCAAATTCTCATAAAAATTCAAATCAAGTTTCTGGTAGAACTTTTTTTTGTTGAAAAAGGTAGAAGTACTTATAAGAAATTTTGTATCGAATTTTCAAATCTTAAATATGAAAAGAAAAATTTTAATAAATTTCTAACCTAAAATAATTTAGAACATTTTAGTGTTTTTTAAGTATTTTGTTGAAATAAAACAATTTACTGTATAATTGCACTCAAATGTTTTTGTAATTTCAACTAACAAAAACTTATCTTGTAAAATAAAATTATATTATGATTTCAATTATTTTGCCCTAGCAAACATTTTTTTATGGACGATAATCAAAAAAAAACTTATAAGAATCGCAAATTTAATATGCCTATAAATAGTCCAACGTGAGTCGTCAAAATATTTTGCATATTGTATGGTGTATAGAAAATACTAACATAAACATTCAGTGAAAATTTCATGTCTCTGTGGTCATAGATAGTCTATTTTACTCATTGTTTATCATTAGTAGATTGTTAGTTATATTAAATATACATTTTACAAATTTTGTATCTACCAGCTGGTGGTCTGCTGCATATTGTTGTGGTTACTAAAATGCTGAAATTTTATAGAGCAATATCAATAATAAGTGATAACCACTAATTTATTAATTGTATTATGTAAAATTAAAATACAATAATATCATGGTAAGTTGAATAAAATTAAACATTTCAGTTTTTTCTAATGGTTTTTTTATTTTGGTATTTATTCCGGGATTTGAATTATTTACGTCGTTATTAGTTATATAGGTACCTCGTACCTATATTTTTATTTGAATAATATACGTTTGACAAGCGTCCACAATATTGTGTAAATAAATATACGTAAGAAAATATAAACTATAATGTCTATATTAAGTTATTCTAAAAATAAATTGTGATTCATACTATCCATAAATTATTATGTAACCCAATAGTTTTTGACCAATACTGTACATTTTAAACATTTTTTAAATGTTTAATGCATTTTTTTACAAAAGAATATTTATATTTATATTGATTCATATTGCTTGAATTGTAGTAGTCCGTAGTGTGATAACTGATAAAGTACTCCTTTTTAAAATTATTTTAGCAATAATTATAACTCATTTACAATATATATAAAATTAATTTGTTCATTAATCAAAATAGTTATACCCATATGGCTTTACTTATATTACAATACTATTATGGGATACTGTGATATTACAGACTGTTTGCGCCGCCAGCACTTGCTTGGTCAGTTTGCTAAGCGACTCGCGGAATGTGTGGGAGTAAAAGGTAATAATATTAAAAAAAAACAATGAATATGATATAAAATTAAATAAAATATAATAACCAGTCTACTGGTACTAAACTAAAATGGTACTAGGTACAACGCCGAAGACGTCTCTTCGGACGATTGCTAATAATATAATTTTACAATCAAAGGCGCAATATGCAAATAAATATGTTCAAACACAACATCAAAAAATAAGTATATAACGATACCGCTGGTGCCTGGTCACAGTTGATGGCGGAATCCCACGACGATTGACAGCGATGATAATAGTTTGCGCAATCCAATATTATGCACGCAAAAGTGCGAGCACGTGTAAATACGTACGACGGGTGATGGGAAATCAAACCCGGTACAAGGTACAACGAAAGGTTGTCGGTCGACACACAGGCAACGTGGTACAATGATACAAAAACGACACCCACGGTCGCGGTAAACTATACCGGACGGCGGTGGTAGCAAAAAAACAAGAAGAAAAAACGACGAAAATGTTATGGTTTATTGTTAAACTATTAGTTACACGTGGGTATTTGCTGTGAGTTGAAAAGCTGCGGACTAAAGAAATAAATTTGAACTCTTTTTCTTTTTTAAAAATATCACTATGGAAATAAAACAAACAGTTGTAAGTATACCTACCTACCTGAGTATTAAGATATCGAAAAGTATCGTCTCAAAAGTGAACAACAGAGAAACAGTAATAATGTTTCGTCCACGACAGTAGGTGGCTAATGCTGGCTTGTAATGCTGACAGTATAATGATCAAAGGGCTGGTGCCTGGTGGTCGCAACTCACAAAGCGTGATTTAAAGGGACATCCTGCTGTAGACCATACCGTCGATAACACCATGCAAGACACCTGATTTTTCGAATGCAGATGTATGTTAAATTTCACAACTAAATGTGCTGTAACTAAAATCTAGACGAATATATATTTAGGATGAGCTCAGTAAAGGTTGTGAAAATAAAGTTGAACAAGAGAGACGGACTGGAACTACAACCGGAGGAAAGGTTTAAGAAGCGCTTGAGACGGTTCACAGAATCCCATGTAGATTCAAAAAGCCATCCATGTGCGGTGGGGGGTGAGCTGACTCTTACTGTAGATACAGACGATCATTCGATTTATCAAAACTCTTTGAGAATATGTTCTCTATTGTTTATTTATTAGAGAGTGCGGGCTCAAACACAGTGCTTGATACATACAAAATATTCGGACTTAGAGTTTTAAATTTGAGTGTGCTAGAACCTATTTTGTAGTTATTTTTTTCTTTTATACTCGTAATGTAGTCCTAGTGGCTAGGAGGATATAAACAAATTCAAAAGCTTTAAGCAGTTTTAGTTTGCTTATAATTTTCTTCCATAAGTTGGTATATAAAATACACAAAAGTTAAAATATTTTAATTATTTACCTATTAAACGCTAGTTTACTATATTACTTATTATTGTATAATATTTACCAACATTTCTATTGGCTAGATTAATTGCTGTTTATTTTGTAATATGTAGCATCGAACTCATAATTTATTGTTTAGTTTTTTAATGCATTAATTTATAAAAAAATATTTTATATTTAGTAATGGACAAAACTAGTTATAATTTTATAATTTTGATTATAATAATTAATAGGTAGTATATTTTATACATCATTATAATTACAATATTAACTTATAATAACAATCGTCTTTTAAATTATACAGTATTATAACGTCTAGCACAGTCATGCCCAACCCTCGGCCCGCCAAGGTATTCCATGTGGTCAGTTACAAATTATTAAAATAAAACAAAATATTCCAAAAAACTAAAATTATTACAAAATACGATTTTAATTAATTTATAAATAAAAAATACAAAAATAAAAATAAAAAGTATATAAAAATGTTTTTATATTGCAACCTACTATGCGTACCTAACTAAATTATATTAAGATTGAGATTATGAGTACTTTTATATTTGGTGGCCTGCTCGATTACAAATGTTTACCAAAGTGGCCCGCCGAGGAAAAAAGGTTGGGCATCACTGGTCTAGCACGATGCCTGTTCAGATTCGACGTGGAGCGTGCATTGACGGAACTGGATTTTAAGGTCGCGAACCCACCGCCGAGATTCGGAAATCGGAGCTTGTTGGGATTTTTAAAACCAAGGGAGAACAGGGAAGAATAATTAACACGCAGCTGTTAGGTGAACTGGTGAAATAATGTATCTTTAATTTAAATGTAAAAAAAGAATAATTGTTAGCATAAAAACTTTGCCCCAAAAAGAAGGTAAACCATTATTATTAGCAAACAAAACCTAAATAATAATATATTTAAAACATAAGTAGATATCCACTAGGTAGTACCTATTTTGTTAGTTGATAGTTAATGATATTTAAATTTTAAACTAATAAACAAACATATAACACATAAATATTATAATTATGAGGAACTAGTAAAATAATAAACCCTATTATAAATAAATTACTTTATTTAAGTATATTATAATTAAGGAGAAGAATTATAATAGGTACAAAATGCCATCAGTCACTCGTAGTGTCGTACAAAAACAGGGTATGCATAGCTATTGTTAGCGTATTAATTATACGAGTGATGACGATGTCAATAACTCAGCTGTGTTATCATATTAGTAGTACGTTGTTACCATCGTTTGTGAAAATAGTATTAATTTATTTTAATAATGGGTAGAGGGAGTATCTTGCTCAGATGTATAATAACAATATTATGCTTAAATTTATGCTATAAAATATCTATTGGATTTTTGAACCGAAAATAACCTAAAAACCCGTAAAAACTTCTACATTAAAATATAGGTTTCGGTTACTAAAAAAATGTATTTAAGGGTTCCGGTCAGGTTTCGGTCCAGAGTTTTTCGAAAGGTTTCGGTCCAAAACCGGTCAATTTCGGTACGGTTCCAGTCCCTGGCCGCCCGGTCACATCTAAATCACGGGGACTAAGCAGCGGCGATAGTGTGTGTAAAGTGTGTACAAGGATTAAAATATCACTATCGGCGTTTTCCTTGGGTGTGGGCAGATACCATGATCATCACTTGTCGGTTTCTTAGACGAGGCAATATTTTTCTTGTTATAAATAGTTACAACCACAATTAGACTATAAAAAAAAACAAACTAATAAAAACTCTACTTAGATATTATATTTAGATGTTTTAGGTCAATCAAATTTTTATTTTTATTTGTGTTTTCTTTTACTATGATATATTTTTATATCTTATCTTTCCCTAGAGCACATATTGCATACTTCTAAATAAAAAATAGAAAATGTTCAAGTATTCCTTTAGTTATAATAGTTTTTTGATTACAACCAAATAAGAAAATCATTCTATGAGGGTCAAGTAATTAGTAGAAGGCAATAAAGTTAATTAATTATACCTAACTAGTAACTACTAACTACAGAATAAGACAATAACAATTAACTCAAGTATTCAGACGCCTTCTAATGCTTCGCATTTCATTGGACTACCACCGTTAAATCCGTTTAACATCATTTCAAACGTTGAGTACTTTCCACATTTACATTTATCATCACGATCCACTAAATCTATATAACCGCCTACAAATCCCCTTGCATGTTTTTTTGTAAATGTGCCCTATAATTTAAACAAAAAAATTAAATAACTTTTATAATATTATACATTACAAATATTACTTTTTCATTCAATGTACCCGTGTTATCAGCACACCATATGCTTCTTTTGTCATCCTCATTTTCACAATACTGTAAACATGTATACAAAATATTTAAAAATAATGTGGTACTTTTAAGTATAGTGATTAATAGACCAACTAGCCAAAAAATAATTACATACATCGGTGAGAGTCAATTTCGTTCCAAAAATTCTCTCAATCACAAACTACTTAAGTAAATTGCTGAATGTTTAGGTGTATTTTAAGTACTTAAATTTCTGATCAAATATTTTTAAATCTGGTACTAGGAACATGGCGCTTGTGCATTCCAGAATTTAACACGATTTAATGAATAATGATTATTAAATATTCATGACCATTGGTTGACGAGAAGTGCGGTGACTTCAATCGTCGGATGTCATTGTCTGGTCAAAATTGGTGTTGTGTGAGAGGACATGGACAATAAATTTAATATTCAATATTCAATGATCCATCTATAGGTATTTTAACTTTTTACAACAATATAGGTACTAATATGAATTACACTCTGATAGCCTGATACTTCTGTCACTCGTAATGGTCGGTGGTCGTCATCACACGACCTTTGTTATGCTCGTAGCATGACAAAATAGATTTGTAGATTCCAACACAGTATATTGTAATAATTTTTGCAGTATATGTATCTAATTCACCTCCAGCCCATGATGTAGTATTATGAGAATGTTACAACTTTGTGAAATATTTTCGTAATTCACAAAGTATAAAAAAGCAATTTCCGTTAATTACCACCTAGGTGATGATAAACCGAATTCTTCAGTTGTGCTTGTCGATCATTTTCTGTCGGTTCTTCAATTGTATCATTGTGTGTGCCTTTGCATTATACGTACATTTTCCAATTTTTACCCGATTTTTTCATTTATCAACCCTTTGTCCACCCCGTTCGTATTTTATTCAGGTTCCTCATAAAGTCTCAAATCCGTTAGTGTCCGGATTTTCGTTCCTTCTCCGTCCGTAGCGATTGCAATCTTGATCGAAAACAGTGCAAAGCATAAATTGCTGTCTCTGCATGATTATTGATTATCTTTATTAATTAACTAACTGAGTACAATATTTTTATATTCATTGATGAGAGAAGTGGAATGCACACAACGAATACGTTTAGGTAATGTTATATGCAGTATTGTAACAGCAGATAAATGGCTTAAATAGTATAGTTTTGAAGCATGTAGACATCTGAAATCATAAGCTGGTAGCTTTAGGCGTTAAGTCATCCCCCCCGTAGGTGCTAAAATCAAATCCGACCTCAACGTATTCTGGGATGGCCGCCAGGATTTTTTGTCCATAATCTATGTATGTCGGCCAACGATTAAGAGGACATGAAACCTGCTTGTGTTGTCTCTGTCTTACAAGTGCGTAACATAGCAAATTTTATGCTCAGCAGAACACGGGTAGCTCCGTTAGTTTAAAAATTAGTGCGAATTGACCTCTTATAAAATCTAAAGGTAAGATTATTATCTAGGCAACCTCATAGGTTTTTTATTATATTTTAATTTTAACGCGAGTTATGAGTATTTTAAAGTTGTAAATTTTTTATACATCTTAAAAGTGTACAATTTGCTATGTAACGCACTTGTAAGACGGAGACAACACCATGCGGGTATCACGTCCTCTTAAGATACATCGTATGCGATGTACCACTGATATTTCGTTTCAACTTCACATAAGTGATATCTTTCAATGTGACGTTTGGCATCTCTATAGGGTATTGGTACATAAGCTTTAGAACAAAATATCGCAAATCGCAGTGTGACTTCTATAGGATATCAGCTATGTTCCAATATATTTCACATAGAGTACGGTATAATGAATAATTCTATACACACGTCATACACATATTTATAACATAGTGTCATTGTTCATCAGTATTTAGCAACTCAAAAATTCATTGAGTTATGCACAGTACTATATGCCAAATACACCAAATATTTATGTTTTATATTATAATGGTCATTTGTCGCCAGTGTAGTAGATAAGCACGATAAGTATTTTGGGAACTTGATGCACATAATATTTTTTTATGTTCCCAGTCCTTTAAATTATCATTAGATTTATGTACAAATAAAAAACTATATGATCTACATACTTATTTATTAAGTGATGGATACTTTGAATTAAAATGTTCATACCTCGTTATATGATATTTCACAAGGATTGAATTTATGCTTCACATCATTTTTCGGTATAGGATTTATTGAGAAATCAAAATACATTTTATCCTTTGCAATGGTTGAATTTTCTAAAGCAGTCGCAAATCTATTCTGAAAGAAATCATAATATTTGTATCTTTATCTTTTGGGTTTGATTCAAATCTTACTAATGTCATAACGTCTGGATTTGCTGAATCCATAGGAGTAATCCCACTACGTAATAAATCATCGGAACATTCATTAAAATAAGAAAATCCAATTAAATAGAAATCCATAATTAAATTTATCCTTGAAAAATCCATATCTAATACACACAACATAAAAAATAATAATACATTTACAGTTTAATTTTCGGTTGGTTGTATACTAAATATATCATGTAAAAAATCCTTATTTCAATTTAAAACATTTGGCGCTACTGCATGCTCCTATATTATCAATTTTACTTCTACTAATTTGATTTCTATTCTAAACTTACTATATGCCGTATCCGAGCCTTCTGCACTTTGTATGAAAGTCTTAGCGTTCCAATGCAACCCAATTTCCAAATTTGGATTCATCTCTTTGATAGCCTTTACATAGGCAGTAAACTTCTCGAAGTATATATCAAATTTGTCCTAAAGATGAACAAATTATTAAAAAAAAAAGGTAAATATAAAATCACAATTTATAATTTAATTATAAAATTATGTGCAAAACGCAAGTGTATCAATGTAGGTACTCATTATTTGTATTTAACACTAGTTAATTTGTACATGAGAAGATTAAATTTGTTGTTTTATATGTACATTTATTTAATACATTTTTGCATACTTCATTCTATTATGGTAATCAATGCACCCCCCACCCCTATTATGAGTTTTGTCAAAACTACTGAATCTAAGATTCCAAATCAAATATTTCTTTGATATATTACAATTTTCTCAATAATTAAGACTCTATATCTATTTTATTGAAATATATCTATCATTAATTTACGTTTAGTAGATACCTCAATAAAGTTATTTATAATATAGGTACTGTACTTACAACTGGAGTAGGTTGTACAGTTCCATGCAGAATCAACCCTTTCACAGGATAATCACGAATAAAATTTTGCACATTTTGAGCTACAAGTTTAAAATCTCCTTCATAAAGTACAGAATACCACTGGTCGTAGTCTCCATGTGAAAAAAATAAGAACACAGGGTGTGACCTACCCTCAAACTCTACAAGTGATCCTAAGCGTTCTGTAAAAAAAAAATAAACTTTTAATTATTGTGTATCATAATTTTATTGTTTATTTTATTGTCTATTAGTAAGCACAAGTTAAAGTCAATGTTATAAACTAATGACATTATATTATTTTGTATTTTATTGCATATCTTATTATTATAATAAAACATGATGATGTAATACTATACATATTTAAACGAACCACAACGATAAAGGTTGTTATTTGTTTTAGGTACTTAAAAAATATTTTCATAATGATGTAAATCTTATACAACACCTTATACAACCTGAGTAGGCTGTTCTGTGTGATTGACATAATGCTGCAATTTGGATATATACACTATTACACTTAAAATAAAGATTTTTCCACAAACGATATCGTTAGGTTATTTATTTATTTATAAGGGAAATCCCTTTTGATAATGATATATTTTACAAAGTAAATACAGTAACGTATGATATAAGGTAACTTAATGAGTTAACAAAAATTAGAGAGTAGACTAATAAACATTTAACAGTAGTTAGTGAGTGAGCAATATAATAAAGAAGTATAACAGACAACTATGACTTCTGAAAATAAAACTGTGAGCATAGAAAATAGCAGTCAAGAGTAAGAATCTAGGAAGGAAGGGTCATTATTAGCATTAGTATTAGACGTCTGAGAGGTTCGTATTGTTGGTAATTTGCGGTGACACTGGGAATATGGAAAGAGATATTAAAACGTGTAGAGCGAAGAGGAATTTTAAAATTTATCAAGGAAAGTAAGGCGGGAGAGTCAATTTTGTTGAGTATAAGATCATTGAAGAACTTAGAGCTAAGCATACGTCTACGGTAAGAAAGGGTATGTAGCACAAGAGCATCAGCAACGGGTGAGTAATCATGAGGTCCATGTGGAATACCTAAGGAGAAACCAACAAAGCTCAGAAACTTAAGTTGTACGCGCTCAAGTTGGTTTGAACAAGTGGCCGTATAAGGATTCCAGATTACCAATCCATATTCTAAGATGGGTCGAACTAGAGCACAATACAGGGATTTGAGTGATCTAGATAGTTTAAGGTCTTTAGATAATCACAAGATGAAACCAAGAGTTTTAAGTGATTTACAGAAAATCATTAAAATGTGCTCACTTGGATTGAGATTACTTGATAATTTGAAGCCCAAGTCAAGTGTAGAGTCAAAGACCCGTTCGATGATAGTGTTATAGAGTTTATAATTCCATACAATTGGATTCTGAGACCTGGAGAAGGTCATGAGTCATGACCCGGCATTTAGCAAAATTAAGCTTCAAGCCTAAAGTTTTACACCACATAGAGAAACACTCAAGATTATTTTGTAGACGTAAACAGTCGTCAGTTGATTTAATTTTCAAATATATTTTCATGTCGTCCGCAAAGCAAAGTATTATGGCAGAAGGAAAAGCATTTTTGACACTATTGAAGAATAATAAGAAAAGTATAGGTGATAGGTGACCACCTTGAGGTACACCAGGACGAGAATACGTTCGATTTAATACCAAACACCTTAACCCACTGTTGTCTATTGAGCAAAAATGAATTAAACCACGAGAGTAGAGGTTCACCGAATCCGGATGCCCTTAATACTTTCAATAGGACTATATGGTTGACTGAGTCAAAAGCTTTGTAAAAATCGGTGTAGACTACATCTACCTGAGAACGTTTTTGGAAGGCTTCGAAAATGAAGTTACTCAATACTAAGTTGCAGGTGGTTGTAGACCGCCCAGTACGAAATCCATGTTGCTCATCGATAATTTTGTTATTAACTGAGCGTTTAATACAGTTTAAGACTATATTTTCAAATAGTTTAGAGAAGTGGGATAGAATTGATATAGGTCTATAATTTGCAACATACGTAGCGTTTCCAGATTTTAGGATGGGTGTTATAGAACTAAATTTTAAAATAGACGGAAATATACACTCATCAAGAGAACGCCTAAAAAGTAGAAAAAGGCGGTACGATATGATATGTCTTCATTGGAAAAGGAATTCGCCGGATAAACCGTCAGGACCAATGGATTGGACATTACGTAATGCAGATAAGCCACAAAAGACGTCGTCTTCCGAGAATATGATGTTATTGGGCAAATCGAAATTTAAGCTTACATCGTTGGGTTGATCCACATCTATAACTTCAGATGTATAAACGGAGGAAAAGTACGACGAGAATAAATTAGCAGCATCCTGATCGTCAGTTGATAAACGACCATTTAGTTCCAATACTTTTAGTATATCATTTGTGGATCTGTACCTATTGAAAAATTTCCAAAAATTAGTAGGATTGTTATAAGTGATGTTTCAGAACGGTGAATGTAACTACGCATACATTTTTTGGACTCATATTTAAAGCGTGCCAGGAGTAGTGAGAAAACGCGGTAGTCAGAAATGTTAGCAGCGAATTTAAATTGGGCGTGTGCTTTCATTTTAAGTATCAACATTTCTTGTATGTCTTTGGTAAACCAGGGGGGGGGGATGAGAATGGGTATAATTACGCAGAGATACGTAACGTAAAATAAACTGATGAAGCGCGTCGAAAAACATATTAAAAGCTAATTCAACGTTTGGCGGTGAGAAGGTAGTAGGCCATTCAAAGAGATCAACAAACGATTGAATATTTATATAGTCAGCATTCTTGAAATCATAGAATGCGTGCGAACGATTAAAGACGGGGATTTGAACATTAAATTTCAATTAAATAGATAGAGGTGGGAAGTAATGATCGATCGGGACTAAGGGATCCAAAGATTCTTCAACTATAATTGAATTAATATTGCTAAACACTAGATCAAATAAGGATCCGTGCTTATTAAAAATATTATTATTTTGATAGAAGCAGTTCACCGCGAAGAATTCAGGAATACTGGGTATACAGGAGGAATGAGAATAGATCAAACCAGAGTCATCATTGGCCCAAGAGATATCGGGCAGGTTATAGTCACCGCAAAAAATAAATGTATAGTTTGGATAATTATGGAGAATATGTTCGATAGATAATATATGAGATTCATAAAGGGTCAACGGGGAGTTTGGAGAAATATATACACCACCTAAAACAAAGTTATCAATACCAATAGAGAAACGTACGAAAATGTGTTCAACATTTAATTCAGGAACAATAATACGAAAGGAAAGAATGTTACGGGGCATCCGAATGGACAATCCGTATCGTGAAATAAAAGTACGATGGTTTATAGCGGTAATCAAATATATCTATTGCTATAGAAAATATATATATTATATCGACAATATTGTGGATCAGTAAAGCGTCGATTTGCGCCGACCGGACTTATTTAAGTGAGTCGGCGCAATCGGTGGTGCTTGGGTGGTGGTCGGGCAACAGCCGGACCCTACTTTACAATGAGATGGGTTTAATAATATAATATGTATATTATACAACAATCAATATTGGGCTGAGGAGCCGGCCGTCGTCGGTACAGACTTAAATAAAGCGGTACCCCGACGACGAACCTGACCCGGGTCGGACAGCTTAATTAAGCGCCGAAGTTGGTGTCGTGTTGGCCCTGAAAAGGGCCGTTTAGTGTTATAGAGCCGGGAGTTGTTGAGGCGTCCGGCGGTACTATAGGCCTGGATTGGTAAACGGCGATCGGTGATTGGTTGATATCGTTGCTACAGGAATCGGTGTCACCACGGGTCTTAAGTTGTTTAAACAGCAGCCGCGTGGATCCTGGTATTGACGGCGTTGTTGTTCGCCTATGAACTCGCACCGGTCTCACACCGTGGAACGATAACCGGCGATGTTTGACGGTCGAACGATGCTTGCGACCGTGGAGTGGCGTATCGTCGATGGCCGGTGGTCGAACGGCGCTTCAGCCGTGGAACGACGTTGTTGTTGGTAGTCGTTGGTCGAACGATGCTTGCAGCCGTAGAGCGGCGTATCGTCGATGGCCGGTGGTCGAACGGCGCTTCAGCCGTGGAACGACGTTGTTGTTGGTAGTCGTTGGTCGAACGATGCTTGCAGCCGTAGAGCGGCGTATCGTCGATGGCCGGTGGTCGAACGGCGCTTCAGCCGTGGAACGACGTTGTTGTTGGTAGTCGTTGGTCGAACGATGCTTGCAGCCGTAGAGCGGCGTATCGTCTGGTGATCGGCGGTTGGTCTTCTGGTCCGTGTCTTCTTTCTGTTGGAACTTTTCTAGTAGTTGTTGACAGATTGAAGGCTTGAAGTGGACTGACTAGATTGTCGAGAGTGTCCGGTATTTATACCCTTTTCGACAATCTAGTCCATCGTTGATTGGTCCGCGTACTATGTTTTAGACGAATGAAAATCACACCATTGAACGGACATTCCTATCTATTATGTGTGATTTTTACTCGTCATATCGTGTCTTTTTCCCAATCGTCTTTACTTGGTGGTCTTGAAAAAAACCTTTTTCTGTGTCACGGTTGTTTGTTCCGTAACAAGAATATCCTTACGTGTGCCAATAAGTACCCCCCTCCCCTAAGAAATGCACTGGTGGCATTTCACCTATCAAATCTAAAAATGTTGTAGTTAAAAAGACCAAGCTCATTATTAGAAAAATTATCAGTAAGCCAAGTTTCCCTTAGAACAATAAAAAGACAATTAAGAGTAGATACGTTACATTTAAAATCAAATAATTTTAATCGAAGTCCACGGCAGTTTTGGTAGAAGCCAGTGATTGGAACGTTATGGGTTTCAGCTACTATGGTTGATTGGCTGGAGGACGTTGACGCGCGACCCAGTTTTTCGGGACAGTAGTCTTAACTTCCGGAATGCCATTGTTGAAAATAATTCTCATGTCTTTTTCACCACTATTCACACGAGTGTCAAGCTCCGCATGGCACGCCTGTAGCAGCTTGCGTTGTAGAACAATTTTGTCCCTCACCATCTGAAACCCGTCGTGAAAAACAGAGCCGGAGCGCTTGGCTGAATTGAACCGGAGAAGCAGGCTGGCTACAGTATTTTTGTTTTCAAAAATAATTTTAAGCGGGCGGATAAATTTATCCTCCCGTATTTTACCGAGACGTATAAGTGAGCTTGTAGGAATAGTATCACCGAGAGATTCAAGTATATTACAGCAGGTTAGCCTATCATGAGCAATACGCTGAGGAACGTCATCAGAATTGGATTCTGGAACACCGTAAAATATTAAATTGAAGAGACACCTATACCGCTCAAAAGTCTCCTGGAGGACTTGAGAAACAACCGATGGAGATTATTGAGTATTGGTAGCAGTATCAAGGCTGGCCAGTTTATCTTTTAGGATGTCAATTTCAGACCGAAGACTGGAGTTTTCAGCACGTAGCTCAGCCACTTGAGCGCGAACATACGCCAAGTCCGCCTTGAGATCGGCCTGAACGGAGGAAAGGGCATCCATGAGGTCTTCATTCGTGACGGGCTTCGGCGCACGACGAGAAGAAATCTTGGCTTGAGGTTTCAAAGGTGTATCCTGTTCAGGCGTGGCAATGATATGAAATCACTGGGTACACGGTGTACATACCAATAAACGAAATGCTAAGTTATTGCGCACAGAGTGTATATACCGCAGCAACGCGATGCGCATAACACTGCAGGTGCCGATAGCGATAAGTTGACAATAGAGTCGGATGTAAGAACGGCCAATAATACGAAACTAAAAACGGTCGCGGGTCGACAGATAAGCATAAGTTAATGAGTTTAGATAAGCGACGAAATCGACGACAACACGTCGTACCCGGACGAAAGCTAATACTGTGATATTCTAGCGACGATTCGAACAAGACAAAAATATAATTTAATATTACAATGGTGTGATTAGAACTGTAGCGACTGCCGGCAATAGCAATAACAACTGAAGGGTGGGCGGGAATAACGTGCTATGTAGCAATTCGTAAATGTTCAGGAACAACTAAAAACGAAAACTGTATCATACATTTTTTTTTTAATGTATTTGGAACGCACGTAGCATGTTCTTCCATATTCGACTATAACACTCTACAATATTTTATTATTTATTTTTTTGTGTAGGTACTGTATTCATTTCACTCAAACAAAATTATATTATAAATACTAATATTAATAAAACATAGTATTTTATTACTAAAAATCACATTATATTTATTTTTTTTTACATATTTTAAAATTAATACAATATAATATTATCCTAATATTTTATTACCCTTTAAAAAACCACATAATTATTTTTACATAGGTATTTTAAAATTAATACAATATATTATCCAGGTAATGATGTATAGAAGTCGCTGTATTGTTGAGGCATATACTCGCGTTGACTTACTGTGAATAGTAAACGCTTAACGCACATAGCACGTTTTAATAGTCAACTAATAGCCGGTTTCGAAGTATATACACGATGATTGTGTACGATAAAAACATTCTGGGAGTTTTTCGATTCATAAAATATATCGAGATTGCTTCATAGCACGTTATTCCGCAAAAACATGAAAATTGAAAAAACTGTTACATAGCACGTTATTCCCGCCCACCCATCAACTGATGATGACGTGTTTTGAGGCGACTGCAGGCTGACCATAATACCAATATTATACGGCATCTATTTTCAGAATAGTAGCTAGTAGTTATTTGTAGTTTTCGATACAGGGTAGGTATACGATGAAGATAATTTTGTATCATTCCGGTTTCAACCAATTTTTAATTTATATAATTAATTTCTTTATGGTTTTTTTTACTATTATTATTGACGATTACAAAATATAATATGGTTCTTCTTACGAAAAATCCCTCTTACAATGAGTTTCATGTTGTCTGTCGTTTGTGGGTACACTAGTACTTAAACTCATCCTTCGGTTCTGATGCGCAACCGCTTTCCGCGAAGGTATAATTACAATTAACAAGTATGGGTTGTAAACAATATATGGTAGTCTTATACTATGAATAATATTAGTTTTAACCATTGCTTACTTTTTACACCTAAATAATGAAAATACAAGTAATTAAATGGTTCCTACAATTATAAATTCAACACTTCAAACATATTCAAACTTTGTTTTTGTGTTTACCTATTTTATTTAAAATTTACTATATGATAAAAATATATAGGTATTATAATTATTGATAATTGTTTTTTACCTAATCCGAAAGTTGTGTCTTTAATCTCGATTATGTATTCTTCTTTACACATAACTCCATCATAAACAAAAGATGAACATTGTTTTGGAAGTTTTTCTAACTTCACTACATCTTCGTGACATTTTTTACCATCTTCTTCCATTTCGCCTAAATAACTACATGATGAAATGCCAAGTTCTAAAAATACAAAAAAAAAATATATTATTACACTTTCATACTTTTATCTAAAAAAAAATCGTCAAACACTACTAAATACTACTAAAAAGGATCTTCATAGAGCCAACATCTATATCATTCATATGACAACCGTTCCTAGCACGGCAATTTTAACTTTAATTGGTTATAAAAAAAAACTGTGCCTAAGTATTTTTAATCTTTTTCAACTTCTATTGTAACAATATATCAGAAACCTTGTATTACATTTTCAAGGTTTTTGACCTAACGAACACAATATTACTGACATATATATAGAGAAAAAAACTAAAATAATTGGCAGTTGAAAATGTCCATGAACTCCTTAAAAGAGTCAAAATATTTTTGAAAAATGTTCATGTGTAGGAAATACAATGTCAAAGACAATATTAAAGATAATGTTGAACGAAATCAAGACATTTAAATGTGATTGAAATAAGATTTGTAATGCCGTCACTCAACAACATTAGAACATCAATTAACTATAAAAAATATGTGAAAATTAGATCTAACTCATTATACATTAGTTTACTGACTAGATTCCTATTTTACTCTTGGAATTTCACAGTCGTGTTGAATCACACATCGACCTAGTCCCCAACAAAAAATTCACGACAAACCACTAATGTTGCTTCTTTTAGTTTCTACTTTGAATTTTTGAAAGGACACTTGTCGGACTTTCAAATTGCACTCCAAGATACTAACGCGAGATACATTGAAAATCGTTTAATATATGCATACCAGGACTGCTTAATGGTGCTACGCAAAACATAATTTCACGAATATTTGTATTTAAATATTACAAACGAGTATTCTTTTATTTTCATTTGATCTTTCTTATTATTCAGTATATAATTGTAGTAAGTTTTTATTTACCAGATACTGTAGTTAGGCTGACCAAAATGCATAGATCTAATGAAATAATACAAATATTAAATACTACTAAATTATTCATTTTATTATTAAAAATGCAAAATACAATATTATGGAGAATTAGATACGTTAATTACTTTTTCAAGATATACATGCATGTTTAACATCGTTATTGGTTATATACGTACCTTTTTGGTATTTGAGTAATGTGCATTTGATTAGCGATTGCAGTTGTGTACACAAAAACACATTTAGTACAAATAAATAATGACTATTTGTCATTATAATAATTTATTAATCCCATAATCCATAACTTTCGCAGTTTCGCTTTATTTTAAACATCAAAACAATATTACTGTTAGAACGTTGAAAGTGTGAATTCATTATACAGAACACCAAAAGTTTCAAAACAGTCAGACCAGTCAGTGGCCTCTTCTCATATTTATAACCTGGTACAAAATTAATGTTTAGCATAATATGTTGCTTTCAACTCAACAATCATATCGAATAAAATGATAAATGAATCAACCTACATCCGTGAAGTTCTTCACGTCCAAATATTTTTTCTTATTTTAATTTGGTTTGGGATATTGGTATTTATTTCATTTTAAATTCTGTGTGGAGATATGAGTGTATTGATTTTACAACGATTTGTGTTATTATTATGTTTACATTTATTTTTTTTTATTTTGATGTCTGTCTTCAAGGTTTTTGGTAGTATTACAATATACACAAATATTCTGAGTATAGTGCAACGAATGCTTGTTTCGTAGAAAACCTCAATTGAACTCTGAAACAAAATGTGTATAGGGAGTTCACTGCATGGATATATCATGAACGGGTTTCCATTTTACAATCCTTGATTAACGGATATAATAATTCAAAATATAGAACAATAGGTACGACTCCTTTAAAACTGATACAGATCCATAGTCAGTGAAAATAAAACAACGTAAAATTATGAATAGATGAATTAAGTTTAACATTGTTACAATTCGTATAAGTACATATAAAGGTCTAATAGGTACTAGGTAGTATAGTGTAGTACTAAGGGGTCTGTCTCATGTTAGTCAGTAAATAATTGTTAAATTTGTCGGGTTATTTGGTGATTCCTGACGTGATTCCCGATACGTATTGTTTTCGAGATCCTCTAGGTATATATGATTGTATACATTAATATAGCATAAAACCCAGTATTATTCAGAAATGTTTGAATACGAATAACCTATATATTTGTATGAGATACATCAAAAAATAAATATCATAACGATTGCCAAATTAGAATTCTAAAAATACCTATCATACCTACTTACTCAAACAATATGCAATATGTCTATAACTCAACAGCTTGAATGTTACATTAAAGTTACATATAAATTAAAATTTAACAATAATATAATTTAATAATAATTAATTAAAATATACAAGCTAGTAATAAAAATGTCAAAAAACACAGATAATTTTACAAATTGATTAAATAAATCAGTTTATAATTTTTGAATAATGACGACACATTGACTTAAATTTATTGGGTGCATTCTTCTTTTGTTTGCATGTGTTCTTTTTCAAAATAATACATATTAAATAATAACATGTATTTGAACATAATATTATTTTTAGTGTAACACCTCATGCAGTGTTTATTCAATATTCATAAATGAATGCATATATAATCTATATTAATACATAAATGCGAAAGTAACTCTGACTGTCTGTTAGGTTTTTACTCCTTAACCACTAAACCAATTTTGATAAAATTTGGTACATAGATAGATTAGTCCTTAGGAAAGGACATAGTCTAAATTGTGTAGCCTTTTACATCAGTGGTTTTAGATTCGGACAAAATTACGAATTAATCTTTCATAAATAAAAGTAGAACACTGTTCAGAGGCATGTGAGGCAAGAGAGTTGTTATAGAGAAGGGCAATCATTGGTATGGAACTCTGAAAGGAGCCGCACAATTTAGATTATCTTCAAAGGTAAGAGAGCTTGTCACTAAGTTAATAGCGACTTGTGGACCCTAACTGTAAACAATCCGAATGCTTCATAGAATGATTTAATTTAAATGACGCCCTACTTCAAGTTGAGAACAAAGTGATAACTTTACTATTACATGACAAATCAGTCAATCAGCTTACTTGAATATATATTATTGAGTTTAGTAGATTAAATACCTAAAAGAATAATATTAAAATACATGAATAACTTACTTAGATATGAAAAAACATTCTTTTACATGGTTCTCGACTAATTATTATTTTTAATAATTAAAATAATATAAACTAATAAATTAGTAAGTTTAAATCTTCTATACATAAAAAATCTAGTGTCACAATATGAAAAATGTTTGTTACCAAAGTCCTAACCGGGTGGGTGGTCCGATTTTCATGAAATTGTGTGTGTATATTAAGAAGGTCTCATATAGTGATATTAACTATTTTTCATACCCTTAGGTGTTGTAAATTGTATGATTATAACAATAATAATAATAATAATAATAATAATAATACGCACTGAGCGTACAACAACACAATGGTCAGTGAATATTAACATTATTTAGCAACATAATTTATTTAAGTAACGAAATAAATATATTATAAAATAAACTTAGTAATATTGGCAGCCACTGTCGTTGCCTGTGGCGTAATTATTTGAGGGGTATGAATGTATGATAGAGGCAACCTCTCAAACCAGAACTTTTCTTCCTGTCTGTTTGCAATTTACATTTAAAAATTCAATCATTCCATTTCTTATTTCTAAATATTTAAATATTTATAATTTTATGCACAAGTTGTTTTTTTTTTTTTTGTAGATTATACATTTTCAATACATTATATTGTACTATTAATAATATAAAATATTATGATTACTTAAACTGTAAAATCGTACATAATAAAAGGCAAAGAACAAATCATGATGTTTCTGAAAACGGTTTTAAAGAAACTTTTTGAGAATTACTAATTATTTGTGCAGTTTATTACAATTACTTAATGTAGTAATAATAAGTACCTAATTGCTGGGTAACGGATATTAAATTCTGTTTTACTTTGATTAGCATCCACTCCATTGATAAATCTTGGGTGCGCTTCTTCTAAATCACGATTTGCAAATTATTTGGTTTGTTGTATGAGGGGCCACATTTCAAAACGTACTATTTCCATTTTAAATTTTTTTCAGAAAACACGATTTTCTGTTCCGAATTACTAGAAACTCGTGGAAATATCGTAAAAACATCATAAAATTCATAATTCAGTGATTTTAGTTATGATGTAATTTTAATGTAGTTATTCATAATTTTAATTACTAAATTGCATCATAACGTCCTATTTCCGACAAATAGTACGTTGTTGTCTGATTTATGGAAATACGGCACAAGGCATTTATTTCTTGATTTATACATTATAATAATATTATATTATACTATAATTACAAAGTCTAAGGCCGTGGTTTGAGGTTTTTGAGATGAATAAAATGAATAAAATAAATATGATAGGTGTTATCACTGACCATCAACACTTTTGGCGCAATTTACTATCAATAATCACAATGCTTGGTGTATGATGATAATGTTTTTAGATGTAGAAATAAATAAATAAACCATTCAAATTAATTTGCACAGTTAATTTATATACATGAATTAATTATGAAAAATCTACAAAAAATATTTCATGTATTTTCAAACAACTGGAAATAGTACGTTTTGTGTTTACTTCAATTTCGTTTCCTATCTTTATAACATAGAACATAGTACGTTTATTTGAAGTAATATGGAAATAGTTCGTTTTGTAAAAATATTAGGAATTAGCACGTTTTGCCGCATATTTCTAAACCAAACTTCTATTTAACACAGGAAATAGAACGTTTTGATGCAATTTGTAAATAGTTCGTTTTGACATAATATTTGACATGGAAATAGTACGTTGTGCCACAATAACAGATTAACAACTTCAATTTAACAAGGGAAATGGTACGTTTTGGTTCAATTTGACCACTCCATTCGATTTCCCGTCTTTTTTTCCATAAAAATCAATATAATACTCAATTTCTTCAATTTTGGAAATAATACGTTTTGAAATGTCGCCCCTCATGTTAAAATGTATAAAGTACTGTAGAATTTCGCTCATTATTTTTTCAATTAAATTAATACAATTATAAAAGCTTACGAAATAACCTTGCAGCTATCAAAAGCCAAAACTTATTGACCGAGAGAATTATTTTTTTTTTTATATTTTAAATAATACAATGCATAGAAATACCAATTTGAACATTCGGTGAAAAAAGTATAATATATCTGTGGTTTTTCATTTTGAATAACATCCAACGGTCAAAGAAGAAAATCAATTTTGTCATTAACTGGTTTTCCGTAAAAAAATACAGTTGTAGTTGATTATTTATGTTTTTTTCCAATTATTAAGTTAAATTCTAGGAATTTTTATTTTGACTTCCTAAGAGTATTAGCTAGCTTCTTTTTCATACATCCTACCATTCCTACCACAATTAAAGTTGAAAATCCAATAATTTTTTCCTATACCTGATTAGTGAATTCATAGACATAAAATATGACATCATACACCTAATTTTGAAATCAATGGGTAGGTATATTCTTTTTTTAATCAGAATCCAGTAACTAAATGTCTACATCTATCTATTTTCAAAATAATTACACAAAATCTTTATGTATTTTTTGTGGTGTGGCTTCTTTTCACCACTTAATGTGCCAGCAGTTACTATTTCGCAACTTGATTTATATTGTATTCGTTCTTGAATTATTCTATTTACGACTTCTGTGATAGATATATATGTATATATATACATATATGTTCCTTGTAAGTTGTAACAATGATCGCAAGTCCTCACTCACGATGCCAATGACTCATCCCGTGAGAAGTACGACGCTTGACGCCGCTGTTCTTTTTGAGGTCTGTGCCACAAACTATACTCTACATAAGATAAAATTGACTTTATATGAAAAGAATGATAATCACCGTACTGCTTGAGTTTAGGACTTACGAGTAGTCAGTGGGGGTTTTTATTACAATTTTTTTGGAGAGGTGACTTATGTATTCAACCCACCCCCATGACTTAATAACAAAAAATAGACTTCCTAATAAACAGAATGTAAAAACATAAAAATAATTATAACTGTTTATATGTATATTAATAAAAAATAATATTCTACCGACGAATCGAACAAGGTGGTGTGATTGGAGCTGGAGCGACTGCCGGCTGTAACAATATAACGACTGATTATGTGTTTAACTGCTGGCTGACCATAACTAGAATATACTTCGATAACGCATTTTGAATATTTTTCAACTGATATTGTAACAATATATTATAACCTTGTATTGAATTTACAAGGTTTTTGTCATAACAAATACAATTTTATTGATAAAAATTAAAAAACAAATAAAACTCGACATTTTCTAATGAATGTTAATATTTTAAAAAGAAGTGTCTTAATATTTCAACAATTTCATAGTGTATAGAAATTGGTACCTAGTATAAAAGTTTAGTCAAAATTTCATCAAAATACAGGTATTTCTTTTAAAGTTATTCTTAGTAACAAGATTTATACTAATAATTTATAATAAATGTTAGCACATTTTTTTTTTATCTTTCTTACAATTCATTATCTAATTGATACTATAACTTTAGCCTCGGGATTATATTATACAAGCTACAAGCTATTCCGCTGAAATATAAACAAGGAAGGGAGCATAAAATAGATATAATATTGATAAATGTGTTGGACGCTAGGATCAGTTTTGAATCAGATATTCAGATGTATTTTTTATATTAGGTATGTTCAGACGTAGTTTTTCTGATTTTGATTTCGGTTTCGGGCATTGTTATTTATTTTTCCGATTCCGATTCCGTTTTCGGATTTGAATATTGGTATTTATTTTTTCGATTTCGCTTTCAGTTTTGATTTCGATTACGGGTTTTAACGGTTTTAACATGTCAGTGAAGTTAGCCCCCCAACATTGTCTGATCAATCTCAAACTTGTCCAAATATTTTGCAAATACTTTGCAATAATTTGCAAATCTATTTTCAGAATTTGCAAACTTCAACGTATGCTGTGGGAATCGTTTCAAAATTGGGGGGGCCAACTTCATGCAGCCCCCCCCCCCCACATTGTCCGATCGATCTCGGACCGGTGCCAATATTTTGCAAATAGTTTGCAATAATTTGAAAACTCATTTTCAGAATTTGCAAATCACTCGCTGCCCCGCAATTTCCATTTTAGTGTAGGGGGGGGGCAACCCTACCTGCGCTCCGTTAGATGACAGACAGAGAACGACATTTATGATTGAATTTGTTTAAACATTTGTAACGATTTACCTACCTAAGTATTTGTACAAAAGGTAGGTTCCAAAAAAAATTTTTTTTTAAGTAAAGGTTTGATTTATATAGTAGGTAAATTGTTATTAAATATACAAGGCTATGGGCAAGTTAACTATTTTAAGGTTAAGAACCACTGCAGTAAACCAATGTATAATGGGTTAGTTCTGATTTTCATACATTTTTTTTTGGTTTAAGTTCTAATGTTGTTGAGTGACAACATTGCAAATCTTATTTCAATCACATTTAAATTTCCTGATTTAGTTCAACATTATTTTAGTCACTACTTTTTCTTTTTTTTTAATCGAATAATTTCGAGTGACATGTCTGCATCAATATGTGTGGTTTAGCACACAGCTTCCATCAGGTTGTAGACTTGAATAAGGGAACCTTACTTATTTGACAGTCTTGAAAATTATTTTTTAATATTCCTGGAATCAGTCGAACGGAGTTTGTCAATGTTCGGTTTAAGATGTCTTTCGTATGTGTCTCTGTGTTCGTTGCTCGTTATCTGCAATTCCGTATTCAGTGACTTGTTTGTAGCGGCGTGTCCGTGATCTACGGATTTACCGATGCTGTATCGAGTACCGCCGTATAAGTTTCAGTTTATTAGATCCTCGTCGTCAAGTATAACGAGAGGTTAAAACCTGTTATAGTCCAGTGTGGAGTGTCTCGTACTTCGGAACCCTAATCGGGGTGCAGCACTAGTGCCCGAAACCGATTTGATACCTGTACAATGAATATTTACAAAATTAAACATGAAATTATCTGATATTTATCTAGATAAATATTTATTCATTTTTATCTTTATCTAGATAAAATTTAGTTTAATTATCTTTATCTTTATCTAGATAAAATTAGTACTGTTATCTTTATCTTTATCTAGACAAATTATTAGCACTAGTGCCCGAAACCGGTTTGACCCCGTAGTGAGAGTCTTCACTATATCAATTAACTATAAATTACGCATGTACCTATGTTAATCATATTTACGTATACGGTTTTTAAATTATGCTGTATACAATTGATGTCTTGTACCTATTTAAGTTCACATTTTTATAACATTGGATATTCACTCGATTTATTATTGAACGATGATCCTATTTTGTTGTTATTGAAAAACTAATAATCGTAGTCCGTAGATATTTGAAGCTTATACAAAATGTTTGATTTATTATTTCCTATGCTTGGACATTTAAAAAAATAAATTGACTAGTTGTAAGGTGTTTATGGACAAATTCAACTGTCAATTAAAAGTATGGAAGTGTAATTATATATTTTTTTGTATTTTTAGAACTTGGCATTTCAGCATGTAGGTATTTAGGCGAAATGGAAGAAGACGGTAAAAAATGTCACGAAGATGTAGTGAAGATAGAAAAACTTCCAAAACAATGTTCATCTTTTGTTTATGATGGAGTTATTTGTAGAGAAAACTATAATATCGAGATTCTCGACACAACTTTCGGATTAGGTAAAAAACAATTATCAATAAGGATAGTACTTACTTATTTTTATCATATTGTAATTTTTATAATAAAATAGGTATACTCAAAAAAAAGTTTGAATTTGTTTGAAGTGTTGAATTTATAATTGTACGTGCCATTTAATTACTAGGATTTTCATTATTTAGGTGTAATAAGTAGGTTATGATTAAAACTAATATTATTCATAGTATAAGACGACCATTGTAACTTTTTACAACCTGTGCTTGTTAATTGTATTTATACCTTCGCGGAAAGCGGTTGCGCATCAGAACCAACGGACGAGTTTATGTACGATTGTGCGCACGAACGACAGACAACACGCAACTCATTGTAAGTGGGATTTTTCGTAAGAAGAACCATATATTTGTAATATTCGATACAGCTCCTATCAAACCATTGTATTATTATTTATACTTCTATCTTGTCCAATTCGTCGCTAGAATATTATTTTATATTAATATACACACATGTGCGCCACAGCTGTACTTACCTTGGAGGCTCGTGCTCTGTCGAGGATGGGGTTACCACAATATTAAAATAAATAATACATCAATTCAGAATTGTGAATAATAACAAAGTACTAATATTTTTAACGCTATGCATAATAACAAATATAATAGTATACATTAATAATATAAGGAACGGTACCGTAAGGAGACAAGGACGGTGTAGTAAACCCAAAAGAGTAGTATATTATTCATTATTATTTTATAAAAATTATTAGAATATATTACTTAGAAATCATAATAATAAATTATACACGAGGCATAATTTATGATAGATAGGTAGGTATAAATATGTAATGTTCGGAAAAGCCTAAATAACAGGAAACAGAGACCAAGGGTGAAAACAACAAGTTGTTTTTACCTATTATACATAATAATGTTATTCAGCATTATTGGGGTGTAAAATTAGAATATTAATATATCACGCCATAATACGTTATTGTTAGAACCCGCATAAATACGGGTAGAGCACCTACCAAATGTTAGAAGATATTCAGCACTGCTCGATAGCGTGACGCGTTTACGACAGTGTGCTTAGAGATTTTTTATGTTTATAAATTATAATTAACAAATTGTTTCACTTTATTTAACTAAACGAGTCTAAGTGTTTTATTAATTTCAATACCTATCTTCTCAACATACGTCTCAAGACAGCGACGAACGTGCTACGTCGTTTAAATAATTATTGTGGTACCGATCGTCGTGTCCTGCACAGCGATCATTACAACGGTGATCTGAACCTGTTTAAACCGAAGCTGGTTGACATTGACGACTGGACCGAAGCTGGTTGATGTGGTAGACTGGACCGGAGCTGGTTAATATTGTTGATTGGATTATACCCGAGACTACTCGGTTTAATTCGCCGATCGCTGGCTGCGACGACGCTGTCTTCTGACAATAACGTCCGAAACCGACTATATTGAAAGGGCTTCAGGAACGGCGGTGCAACAAAGGGCACAGACAAAATGGCCGTAAAGAGAACCACGTGTAGTGTAACGGAAAAAAGGATATGTTTTTGTAAAGCGACACACACATACAACCAACGACGTATCTCGTCAAGTGTCTCAACAACAACACGCGCACACGGCGGGCCGACTCGCCGGCTAGACGCCGTTCGATCCAGCTGATCGAACGACGACTGCTTTCTCGATCAAGGGGGAAACCGTGTGACAACATCCGCACCAGTGGCCGATCATAATAGACAACTTGCGTGAACATACTCCCCCCTCGGGAGACTCCGTCTACCAAAGCTCGAGAACTGGAACTCTTGATATGGTGGATATGGTTCAGCTGTCCAGGGAGGAAACGGATCAAGTCAAAGGAGTCCCTAGTTACATGATTTTTACAACATAATATATATAAAAGATCACAAAAAATAATATAAAATAATTACACAAACAAAAAAAAATCCCATCGTGATCATTGCCCGAGTCACTGGCACCCATACACCGATAACAAGGCGGGTCAAACACAAAACCTAGTGATCACGAATGGAACAATCAAGTAAACTGTACAGTGGTACCCTCGGGAACACGAAGGAAACCCAAATTTATAGTAAGTACCTAATTTTTATTCTGTGGGTAGCGATAGTTATCTTGACCACAGGTCTAACAAGCGTACCTAGTCCTGTCAAAAGGTTGACTACGCGAACAACCCTATCCTGACCGGATAGCAACTCGGTTACTCTACCTAATCGCCAACATAACGGCGTAGCCAGGTTGTCCTTGATGCACACAAGATCACCTACCTTGAGCGAAGTGTCACTGGCTGTCCATTTCGAGCGTACCTGCATATTGTTTAGATACTCCGAGGATCATCGTTTCCAGAACACTTATTGGTGGCATTGGTGAAGAAGCTTCCACCTCGAGACCAAGCGACGGGGAGCAACCGACACGTCTGGCTCCGGAACGCACAAGAGCGGCTGACCCGTCAGAAAATGACCAGGTGTCAGACTTTCTAAATCTCCGGGTTCAGAGGACAACGGTGTCAATGGTCTGGAGTTTAAAACAGATTCAATACGACAAACAACAATTGCAAATTCCTCGAAGGTTAAAGTATGGACTCCTACTGTCCGCACCAACAATTTCTTCATTGATTTCACTGCTGCTTCCCAAAGACCCCCAAAGTGCGGAGCACTAGGAGAATTGAAATGCCAGCTGCATGGGAGGTGTGAACTAACTTGGGACCGAACTGTCGAATCTAAAAAGAATTGGCGGAGCTGCCTTGACGCACCTACAAAATTTTTACCACAGTCTGAATAAATATCCGTCGGTAAGCCACGCCGAGCGATGAATCTATCAAACGCAGCCAAGAAGGCGGGAGTAGAGAGATCTGCTACTATTTCAAGGTGAACAGCCTTCACCGTCATGCACACGAAAACAGAGATATAAACTTTATACTCCCTAGCCTTTCGAAGTTTGAGCTCTTTCATTCGAAGAGGGCCAGCAAAGTCAATACCAACTTTTGGAAAGGGACGACACTGCACAACACGAGACGGTGGTAGGTCCGCCATGATTGGCTGTGGGTTTACGGCTGATAACCGAACACAAGTCACACAGTTCTTGATCTCGATTCCTATCACCCTTCTAACCGATAGAATCCAGAATTGTTTCGAAATGAGAGAAATCATCAAACGCGTGCCAGAATGACACGAGAAAATATTCCAATGGTGAACGATCAATTCCGACAAGCGTGAAGCTTTAGCTAATAACACCGGATGCTTCTGACGATCTGTCAGTTGGGAATTACCTAAACGACCTCCTACTCGAACTATACCCTTAGAGTCTATAAACGGTGACAACCGTGCCAACTGCTTGCTGGAAACTCTAGAATTTCGAGCTAGTTCCTGCAATAGAGAACGAAAATAAATACCCTGAGAACATTTGATCACCACAGTTAGAGCCTCATCCAACTTACATCGCGACAACGTATCAGACCGTGAGAGCTGTCCTCTGCATCTCGACACAAAACGCCTTACCCAGGCCAGCACCCGTAGCATGTGTTGATAGGAGGAAAATCTATCAAACCATTCTGAATTGTTTTGATCGGAACTGATCAATAGTGACGCTGACTTGACTTCTGGAATTTCTTCCACAGGAAACCGTGGTATCTCTGATGTCCACTTATCTGGGGAGTACAACAAGAAACTAGGTCCATTCCAATATAATACATGACGACCCAACTCTGATGGTTTTAAACCGCGAGATGCGCAGTCTGCTGGGTTTTCCTCGGACGACACATGCAACCACTTACAGTCTGGTAATAACTGATTAATTTTGCTAATTCTGTTGGATACAAAGATCTTGTACGAGACGTGAGGGGTGGTAAGCCACGAAAGAACAATGGACGAATCTGTCCACGCATATACATTGGAAATCTTTAACTGAGCCGATAACGTTTCCTGAATCCGTGCTAACCAGCGTGCCAAAAGTCCCGCACCGCACAGTTCTAATCTTGGAACCGTCATGGAGTGAAGTGGTGCTAGTTTAGTCTTGCCACCCAGGGTCCGAATGAGAGAATGAGTCTGATTATTGGGAAGAACAATGCGTAGATAGACGAGAGCTGCATATCCACGAACCGAAGCATCGCAAAATCCACACAGCGTATAAGTGGATCCACTCTGCGTTCCAACAAACCGAGGGATTTGGATCAAGGACAACGACGGCAGCTCCGTCACAAACTGGGACCATTCATCTGCGATGTCAGTCGGTAACTTGTCATCACAAGCGATCTCTGATGTCCAAACCGACTGCATTAAATGTTTGGCAAATAACACCACCGGTGACAGGAAGCCCAAGGGATCGAAAATCCTAGTAATTACTGAAAGGACACCGCGTTTTGTGAAAACAAACTTAATTGAGCTGAAATCATATCTAAACGTATCTTCTTCTGATTCCCAATTTAATCCAAGGACCTGGACTATCGACCTTTCATCATCGAACGAAAGTGATCCTGATGCTCGATCTTCTTTTGGTATTTTCTTTAATAGTTCCTTTGAGTTACTAGACCATTTTTTAAGTTCAAACCCATAGTTTGCTAACGACTTTATGAGGCTCTGCTGTAACTTATACGCTTCATCAAGTGTATCTGCTCCTGTACAAATATCGTCCATATAAGTTTGGAGTCGAATAGCCTTCTGAACTGAAGTTGACTGTGCACAGCAACGATCAGCAATATCGTGCAACACTCTCAACGCCAAGAACGGAGCGCTGTTGACATCATATGTTACCGTATTTAGGGTATATTCTTTTAACGCTTCAACCGGAGAAGCCCTCCAGAGAATGTGTTGGGAATGACGGTACTCAGGATTCACCTGGATTTGTCTGTACATCTTACAGATATCGGACGAGAACGCGAAACGATAGTCGAAATCCTAACAAGACATCAACTATGTCTCGTTGGAGTTTTGGGCTTACGTATAAGGCGTCATTCAACGAATGGCCTGAGGCACTGCAAGCGGACGCATCGAACACAACACGTAGCTTGGTTTGACCATTTCCTTGCTTCCATACAGCATGATGCGTGATTATATACAGTTCTGGATTTTGAGCGATGGACATATGACCCAAAGCCTCGTATTCAGCCATGAATTTGCGATATGCTATTCCAAGCTCTTCATCCTGTCTCAATTTCCGTTCCAGGTGTTCGAAACGCTTGGTCGCAATCTTGAGCATGCCTTCAAATGTGGGATGAAGCTGATCCTGTCTAAAGGGCAACGGGACACTATAACGACCGCGTTCATCAATGATGGTCTCAGCTTTAAACCTAGCTTCACATCATCCCTCATCGGTGAATTGTAGAGGTGCCTCTTCTGGCTCTTCTACGTCCCAGAATCTTTCCATCAAAGATTCTATAGATGGATTGAAAGTTGCCAACATGCAGTGTGCGTTAGAGCTAACGTTTTGCAAGACTGGACTGATTAGCACCCAACCAAATACAGAACTGTACGCGGAAGGTAGTCCTTGGCCAAGTGAGCGTTGCTCGCCAATCCACACCTGTGGGAAGACGTCGGCACCTAACAACAATTCAACCGGCGCTGGTGTATCGAAGTAGGGGTCTGCAAGCTTCAGATGAGAACAGCTTTCTCTAACACCGACGGTTAACTGTTGACATGGCATGTCTGCAGTAATGGTGGGTAAAACCCATGCCTTGATGGTTATGACCGGAGCTGAATCATAACGGGGTTTTACCTTCAACTGTACTGTCCCTAGAACCTTGAGAACACATTGACCAGACAGCCCTGTCAAGGAGGCAGTCCATCTTGACCGCCTAAGACCCAGCTGATCTGAACATTCTTTCGTGATGACGCTAATCTGCGATCCCAAATCAATAAGGACTCTGACGGGTTGAACATCCCCACCAATATCTTGAGCTAGTGCTACCGCTGTACCGAGCAATACAGATGGAGACGATTGAGAACTGAGCATAACGGCAGGCGGCTGCTGAGCTGCAGGGACCTGACTTTATTGAACATCTCGATGAAGGAGCACGAGATGACGACGCTTGCATATGGAACAGCTTTCCTTACATTTATTTGACCAGTGATGACTGCTAAAACAAGCCATGCAAAGTCTATGTTTGGACACTACATCATATCGGCCATCCACCGTGAGCCCTTTAAATACTGGGCAATTACGTAACTGAAGAGATCCGTTACAGCCAGGACACTGATCACTATTGGACGACGGAACACTGGACTGACCGGCTGCTATTAATGAAATGGATTTTTTTCTACTTGGTGACCAATTCTTTTTCTACTTTAACGGCTTCGGCTGCATGTCCTTTGTACTTGAAGCAGATGTAGACAATCCTGCCAATTCTAGAACCTGAATACGACCCTTGACGAATTTGAACAGTTCTTGTGCCTTCGGATACTCTTCCGAGTTGGACATTTCAAAAAGACGACGAGATGACACCGGTAAAGATCAAAACGCTATCGAGAATAATAGGAAATCACCAAAGTTCGGAATATTTAGAGACTCAAGAACACCAATGCTTTTATCGAACGTATTTAAAAACTTGTTCAAGGACGATATGGATTCTTGCTGGCTTATCGGAGCTGATAATATTGTGTCTAAAAGAAACGACGCCAACCTGCGTGGTTTGTCAAACCGATCCACAAGAGCTGCCCAAGCGAGTGAATACGTATCGTTGGAAACCGTTATCCCTTTTACCGTCTCAGAGGCCTCTAGCTCAAGACAACTTAAAAGGTAATAAAACTTTTCAATATTAGAGATATTAGAGCGACTATCTACTATAGCTACGAAACGGTCTCGGAAGACTGGCCAATCTGCTAAATCACCCGAAAACTGAGGAAGTGGAACTTCAGGTAATCGAACAGAGTGCGACGACTGAACTGTTGACGCTACCTCTGATTGAACTTTATCCGAACCGGAAAGACCATCTGAACTACAACCTGCATCTGACTCAATCCTAACCTTAGGATTCTCGGGTGTCATTACTGGTATATTTAATACCGACGAGTTAAAACCGGTCTGCCAAAGCTTTAGCCGAAACGACAACTTCGTTTGTCTCTACCTCTACTGCAGGTGAGAAATTATGCTCTTCGTCTAAATCGATTAATGCATCTAAGACTGCGTCATTTTCGATAACGAATTTTGCCCACAGATCTGTGAGATCATTGACCGAAATTAAGAATTTTTGTCGGGCGATCGGATCTGATTCACCGGACAATCCTAAATCATGGACTGCAATCCCAGCGCGGATGATTAATGACGGTCGACGGCACACAGCTGGCGGTCCGGAAATCTCAACGGCGACGCGCAGCGGGCGACACGAAAGTAATCGAATGACGGCGACAACGGCGGAAAAGGCACATGTCGCACACGTGGTTGCGTTACCGTGAATACACCAATCGAGCACGGCAACGCGGAAAAGGCGTCGTGCCGACGGTTAAAGAAGAACAGACACCGGAAAACAACAGAACCGAAGCTGGCCCGGCGTCGTCGTCGTGCGATCGAAGCGCGCAAAAACTGAGGCGGCTGCAAACGAAGGCTCAACGCCGACGGCGTGGCTGGTGGTCGGGTTGGCGAGCGCGAACCGGTGGCCAAATGGTCTGCGTCCGAACAATAACAAAGTCCTAATATTTTTAACCCTACGTATAATAACAATTATAATAGTATACATTAATAATATAAGGAACGATACCGTAAGGAGACAAGGACGGTGATCTGAACCTGTTTAAACCGAAGCTGGTTGATATTGACGACTGGACCGGAGCTGGTTGACGTTGACGACTGGACCGGAGCTGGTTGACATTGACTCATTGACGACTGGACCGGAGCTGGTTGATGTGGTAGACTGGACCGGAGCTGGTTAATATTGTTGATTGAATTATACCCGAGACTACTCGGTTTAATTCGCCGATCGCTGGCTGCGACGACGCTGTCTTCTGACAATAACGTCCGAAACCGACTATATTGAAAGGGCTTCAGAAACGGCGGTGCAACAAAGGGCACAGACAAAATGGCCGTAAAGAGAACCACGTGTAGTGTAACGGAAAAAAGGATATGTTTTTGTAGAGCGATGTACACACACATACAACCAACGACGTATCTCGTCAAGTGTCTCAACAACAACACGCGCACACGGCGGGCCGACTCGCCGGCTAGACGCCGTTCGATCCAGCTGATCGAACGACGACTGCTTTCTCGATCAAGGGGGAAACCGTGTGACAACATCCGCACCAGTGGCCGATCATAATAGACAACTTGCGCGAACACACACATATATATATATATATATATATATATTATATATGTATATAAACAATTATGTTTATTTTTATGTTTTTAAATTCTGTTTATTTTGAAGTCTATTTTTTGTTATTAAGTCGTGGTGGGAAGGGGGAATACATAAGGCGCCTCACCAACAAAATTTTAATAAAAACCCCCACTGACTAACCGTAAGTCCTAAGCTTAAGCGGCCCGGTGATTATTAGGAGTCTTTGGCATAGTCTGTGAGGACGGATCATTGTTACAAGATGAAACGGTGCACGTATTTTACGTGGCACCGTCGTGTAATAATGAACAACTTCTTCGGGTTTTTTTTTATACAAGATTATGGTTTATTTCTATGGTAAGATTAATTATCTACAATTTGTAAAAGGGGAGGGTTCGAGGGTAGAGATGGGTCGTTCGCGAACGAACTAGTTCAATTGAACTATTCACCCAAGTGAACGATTGGACCTAGTTCACTAAAAGGTGAACGACATCGTTCACCACTGAAATCGTTCACCCAATGAACGTAAAACGACAAAACGACGAACGAAATCGTTCATTCGTTCATTCGAGAAAAACTTTTTACCGAAACGACAAAATGGTAAATATAATATAATTTTCGCTCGTTCAATCGTTCATTTCATCAAACCCCATATGAAGTATGAACTAAGATAACATTATCTAATATCTATTATATATAATATTATCTCGAACCGTCACTTGTTAGTTGTTCAAAATTAAAATGTTACCTATTGGCTTTTACCAAACTATAAAGCATATAGTTATTATTTATTAATATTATATATTATAATATTTTATATATTAAATACCGGTACTACATTTATTAGTAGGAGATATAATTTAATAATCTATTTTCTAATCAAATTCTGTCTATTTAAAAGGTCACAATCCATTATTCTAGGTCAGTACTCAGTATTTTACTTCAGAACTTTAACATATTACCTTAACCATTTTCAATATAAGGTACCTATTACAACAGGTATTTATATTTTGTAATTTGTAACTTAGTAGTAGTTTTCTATAATAATAAATAGGATTCTTGTAAGTATAAAACAAACAATTATAAATTAAAAAATATTTTATAATTAAAACAAAAAATAGATAAAACTGTGTAATAAAAACATTAAAAATGGGTAAAACTTTATGGGGTTTAACATAGGTAAAAATTAGGTAATACTTCATAGATAATACAATTAAATAAAAGTAATTAAAATATAACAAAATATTAATATTAACATATATAAATAAAACAAATAGTAATAAGCTTGACTTGAGTATAGTAGGTAAAAATTAGGTAATACTTCATAGATAATACAATTAAATAAAAATAATAAAAATATAACAAAAAATATTAATATTAACATATATAAATAAAACAAATAGTAATAAGCTTGACTTGAGTATAGTTATTAGTAAATAGTTAAGTGCAATTAAAATATTAAAAAAATTGTATACATTCTTTTACAGATTTTGGTTTAAAAATAATACCTTGGAAGATTTTGAGGCTAGCATTCGATTTCTCCTCTCTGTTATCACTAAACCTGCTTTGCTAAAAAGCCTTTCGCATGGCACAGAGGTAGCAAGTATGCACAACCGTTTTTTTACTATTATAAATAAACGTGGATATAATAATTTGTGAGCTGTCCACCATTTTAACGAATCTTCATGTCGATTTATGAGTGGTTCATTCTCATATTTGTCCAACTCAATGGTTTGTTAGGTTAAAAAAAATATGTTAACTTTTCCAAAAAGTATAAAAGTATTTTTATTTTATATACATACATTCAGTTTTAAAAACATCAATTATTTTTCCTACATAACCTAGTAAAAAAGTTACCGAATACAGATCTATTTTCGAAATGTAAATCGGATCATAGAAAGTAACTAAAAAAATCTTTCTCTTATAGTTAGTTTGTACTGATTTTAAAAACGGAAAATTGTCAAAAACTTAATTTGGTGACCTGTGCATGCGCGTGCTTGAGTGAGACTGTTCTTAGAATCGTAGACGATCTAATATCATGGTCATTAGCCTAATGATCTATAAGGTACAGATATAGTAATGTTCTCGGAAATAATACTAACTCCGAAAGTCGTCGCTTATTCAATTATTAATTTTGTATTTCGGTGTTCATTCATTCAATCTTCAGTCTTCATTTCTTCAATCGTTCTCTGTAATATTTTTTCAAAAATGGGTAAAGATTGGCGTTATGGTCAAAAATCTCGCCGGAAATTATTTGTTCCAAAGAAGAAACCAAAACATAATTTAGCGAACTTGAACTCAAAAAAATGTGTAACCGTTGTTCCAGACAACTACCAACAAGTAAGATACGATTTTTATATGTATAGTGTATACTATACATGTTTTCAATTTTTTTAATTCATTAATGATCATATTATTACCTATAAGGATTTATTAAAAAATATATATAAGTTATTCTTTTAGAACGTAGCAACTAGTCCAGATAATACAACGCCAAAAAAAAATTATGTCGATACAAATATTGAAGTTCACCAAGTCTATAATAGTATACCAGGTCCATCTGGCTATATTAGTGAAAAGTAAGTAACTGGTATTTAAGTATTTAAATATTAAGTATATTTGATTTTCGAACAAAACCTATGTTAAAAATGTTTTGAATAACACAATATTTAAAAACTAAAGCGATCTTCCGACAATTTGTTATATGGATAGAACAATTTGTAACAAATCTTGTATATAAATTATAAAACAAATTCAAATTTTGAAAGAAGCGGGTAAGTGGGTATCGCTCTGCTGTACATTAGGTGGCGTATGGATTACTATTATATATTATAGAAGTGTTAAATTTGAATGTAATGATAGGTATCATTGCATACGAAAAACGATTCTAAACGGAGATGATTTGTCAGCCTAGGTACTAGGATATGCTATATTACTATACTGTCAGCTAACATTTTTTTTATCGACATTTATATAAAAAAAAAAATAAACAAATGAATATTTAAAATGCCTATCAATAGCATTAAAATAAGCGAAATATTTTGAAAATTAAATCATGTAAAGAAAATGCCAATCTAAATAATTGGTGAAATTTTCAAGTACCTACAGCTTATACTTTTTGAATTATAACAAATATTTAAATTCGTTTGACTTGTTAAAGGACAAATCGTTATCGTTACGCGATTTCGTAAAAATTTAAAATTCGAACGCTCATAACATTTTTCCTATAACGACGCTTCAAGTTTTCTCTATAGCTACTTGAAGAAAAACTTATGGAAAACTTAGTGTTGAATTTTTTATCCTTACATGTAAACACAACAAATTTTATGATTATTCAACTTCAAAATTACTTGCAAATTTTGGCGATTTTGACATATTTCGTAAAAATTTTAACTATTAGGTAACGCTTATAAAAAAAAAATG